TAGTCAAATCATATTAAATTCCATAAATAAAAATTTAGTTTTAAGTATATGAAATATTGTTGGTAAATTAATTATATAAATAATCTTTGAATAAATACATAAATAATCCCATAACCAAAACTAAATTTTATTTGAATATACAAAATATACTGTTAATAATTTAATTATATAAATCATATTAAATTCTATAAATAAAAATTTAGTTTTAAGTATATGAAATATTGTTGGTAAATTAATTATATAAATAATCTTTGAATAAATACATAAATAATTCCATAACCAAAACTAAATTTTATTTGAATATACAAAATATACTATTAATCGTTTAATTATATAAATCATATTAATTAATTAAAAAATTGAGTACATAAAATATATAGTTGATAATTTAATAATATAAATAATATTAAAATAAATAATTCCTAACTAGAAATTTACGTGAATAAACGAATTACATAAATTGTACATAAATATATAAATATATGTACAAGTAAATGATCGTATAGAAACAATTTCAAATTTCCCGCGCAAACGTCGGTTGAAAATTTCCACGGACATCGCAAGCGTTGTCTTCCTTTTAAACATAAACGCAGCGTTTTCATCTTACAGCGACAATCTCCGTTAGTATAGCATTCTCATGAGGTACCGTTTATAGATTATAATCGGATGCGAACCATTACATGGTTCACCCAGTATATTCTCAATCTCGAAGGGATTATATGCTCGCGTGACAAGGACTGCGGCAGCTTGCAGCGTAACATATTAGATGCACGGCTTGATATCATCCTGGACAGGCTGCTCCTCTTCTTTGACATCGTTTCTTTTCAACTTCTGACACCCTCGTACCATCTTCTTCATTTGCTAGTTGCTCTTTTAATTTCGGTATTACATTGCTTGACACTGCACTGGAAAATCGGGCAAATAAAACGCGCGAAATTAATCTCTTCAAAAATAACGAATATGATGTTAAAAATATTTCTAGTCATTTCAGCAAAAATTCTAATCAAACATATGTATACGACACATATAACATATACTAAATTTTTATTGGCGTCTAAATAGATAAATAAATTCAAAATTATTTTTGCAACAATTTATAATTCAAACTAATTTTTATAAAATAAATATATTAGTCGTGTCATTGTAACTGAAAAAGTTTCAGTGCAGAACACTTGACAGTACAACATAACCTAACTATAGACCGAAAAATCTGACGTCTCTGTCAGAAAATCCCGAGGGTTAAATAAACGTTTTAAATAGAAATTATAAAGATTGGATATTAAAAAAATCTAATAACCAGTGAAAGAATTCCTCTAATATTAATATACGAGAGTCGATATTCGAATAAAATTAACAGATTCGTTGAGTTCTTTTACGGAAGATGGAAACGGTCCAACGTAATCCCCAGATCGAAGCTTAAAATTCTGCCGTGCGATTTTCAGCCTCGGACCACCAAGCTCGCGGTTAATGATCCTTGGGCGGTGACTTCTTTACAATTCCGAAGAGTACCTACGTGCCCTGATTTGTACTTAAGAAGTGCATTATAGTGGTCGGTCAACTCGCTAACACCGCCAGAAATTGTCGTTCCTGTTGACAGTCTTGTCCCAGCTTGTCCTCCGCTTTCTTTCCCGGCAACAACGCTGACAGCAAGATAAATTACGACGACCTATGTCGTTCACGCTTCCTCAATCATTTTTCGCAGTTTGATGCGCTTTCCGGATAAACTTCGTTTCGGTTCGGTTTACGTGAAAAATACCGACACCTTTTCTATGAATGTTTATTCACTGTCTAGATTTTGTATTTTACTTGCAGCTGTGGAACATTTTGTCTTTCAAGGGAATGTTGGTGGGGAAGTAATTTTATTACATTAGGAATTTGGGTTTATAACTGACATTTTAGAATGTTGGAATGTGTGGAGAAAATGTGCAAGGTTTATGCAATGGTGAAATGTTGAAATTGTTTGGGGTTTCTTAATTTGCAAGTGGAGGATTTAGGAATTTATATTTATAAGTGTCAAGTCTTTAAAGTTTTTTAATGTCTTGTTTTTAGAAAGTTTAAATTTCTTGAGATTTTGTTGTTTACAGATATTATTGCAAGCAATTTGGAAATATGCAAACAATATATACTATTAATATTACTATCAATAGTAGCACATATTGATATTGCTATTAATAGTAATATGTATAATTGTTATTATCAATAACAATATAGATAGATACATATCACTACCAATAACTATATATACAGATATATATTATTATTATTTAACAGAAACACATATATTTATATATGTTATTAGTGCTAATAGTAATATAGAAACATGTCAGTACTATCAATAGTACCATACGTATATACATATTATTACTGTCAATAGTAATATACATAGATACATACTATTTTTGCTAATAGTAACATATATGTATAGGTGCGTCTCATTATTATCAATAGCAAAATACATAGAAATATATTATTAGTAGTAATAGTAACATATTGAGATTGATATTATTACTATCAATAATAACATACGTAGACACATATTATTACTCTTAATAATACCATACGTAGACACATATCATTACTTTCAATAATATCATACGTAGACACATATTATTACTCTCAATAATATCATACGTAGATACATATTATTACTAACAATAATATTATACATAGATGCACGCTATTTCCACTAATAATAATATATACAGATACATCTTATTATTGTCAATGGCAAAATACATAGAAATATGTTATTAGTATTAATAGAACATATAGAGACACATATTATTAATGTCAACAGTACCGTACAGAGATGCATATTATTACTGCCAATACTAACATACATACATACTATTTCTAAATTAATAACATATGACATATTAATAACAAAAACACATTCCAACACATATTGTTGTCAATAATAATATACATGTAGGTAGATATTCTTACTGTCAATAATATGTATATTCTATAAGTACATATTCTTGCTGTCAATAATTGCATACAAGTAGATATTATTACTATCGATAACACACTATGTACATGCATATTATTGCTGTCAATAGTTATACATATAGGTACATATAATAGAATTATAAAATAAAATTATACATATTGTTATCATCAATAACAACATACAACATATTATAATTGTCAGTAACTTATTAAAATGAAAATCAATAATAATATGTATAGTACTATATTACTGTCAGTAATTACATACATACAAACATATATCAGTAGCAAAATAAACACAAATAATTTACCAAAACGAATCGCGCAAAAATAGAGTGCTCGATGCAAATGAATCAAAGCAACGTCCGACAACGTGAAAATCGTGATACAGAATTCAAACGCGATTCCCCCCATAAAAATAGGGGGATCGTGTGTATACAAACAACTCTAGTTCCTGTGTTGCATCCGTTGTGTCGTAAGGAGAATCCGCCGCTTTCCTACGCCTCCCTTTTGCTTTCCGCATGTCGAATCGCAGTCTGAATGGTGGAAAAGGTGCCGCACCTTCGTAGGTTATAAATCTAGCCGGGCCCTCCCTGTCCCACCTTTCTCTTCTCCAACGGGTCCTAGGGGGTCTTAGAGCGTGTGTGAGGTCCCCTAAATGGTAACAAATGTCTTGAAAATGCCAACAATGAGCCGCGAAGCGGTTGACATCCGAGAGCGCGTTTTATTTTCCTGTCAACGCTCCCACCGCACCCGACAGAGACAGAAAAGGAAATGCGGTTATGGCAATCTGCTACACGTTTCTCGTTTTTTAAATACTCTCGAGAACTCCTATGCACGTAACGTGGCTGAGTATTCTAGTTTTTGTCGGGAATGGAACACGGTTATTTATTTTATTGCTTGGCCAAAGTTGGTTTAATAGTTTAATCGACGCTGGCGCCATCTGATCAATATTTTGGTGATAGTACTGATTAATATTGTTTGGTACTATTCGGTACTGTTTTATATTGTTTGATATTATCTAGTAATATTTGACATTGTTTGGTACTTTTTAGTACTATATGGTACTGTTTTGGTAAATACATTTATATAAAAATGAAAATTTTATTACTCCCATATTACTCGAAAAGCAAAACTCCACACGTCGTCAACCAAATCTCTGAACATCACAAAACCGATTGACGTCGAAAACCGAGGCCCCTTCCCGATGACGTCGGTCGAAATAAAATACGAAAGTCGCAAAGAGAAGAGAACGCGAGTTTACGTCGAAAATAAAGGTGTACAGCATGAAAGAGGCGACCTCGGGTAGAAAATAAAATCTGAAATCACCGATTTTATGCTGTAGCCACGAGATACGTGTGTACCACGTGCACGTCACAAGCACTTAGCCATTTATGACTGTTCGCAGAGGATCCCCATAGGTGCTTCGGCCACATTACATCAATGCTAGAGCCTCGTTCATATGTAAACGTACAGGACTTTGCTCAGCGGGGATGCTGACCAGCACATTTCAGGATGACGTTGCTTCGAAAGAGATATTTGCTCTCGACTCCGCGGTCCCTCTCTAATTGATTACACGCATCTTTTCACGCGTTCTATTCAGTCGATCGCCTCTCTTTTCATCTCCGAGAGGCCGATATTGATTGTGCCTATCAACGAGCAAACCTGCCCGACAGCCGGAGATCGCCCCGTGCGAAGCGGGTAATTCACTGCCCGGGCATTTGTCCTGTGTCAACGAACGTCGTACATCAGCTTCCGATTATGGCCTACGTAAATCGGCCGTACCGGTCATTCCATATTTACAGTTAAGGTTCACTGTTAAGCTTCATTTTTAAGGTTACTTGCAATTGATAGAACATACCTGGTAAAGATATTTCGTTTACGGTTAAAATACGTCGTTTCAGGATAAATAGTCTAGCTATGCTAACTAATTTTTAACTAGAGTATAAATTCTATATTAATATGTAATGATAAAGTATATAATAGACTTAAAATATTACATATATAACCTTCCTCATCTAAAAATTATTGTGTCTCAATGTCTCAGTGTCTCAATGTCTCAATGTCTCAGTGTCTCAGTGTCTCAATGTCTGAGTGTCCAAGTGTTCCAATGTCTCAAAGTCTCAGTGTCCCAATATCTGACTATACTAGACATTACTATGTCTCAATGTCTAAATGTCTCAGTATCTCAATGTCACTATGTGTCAATGCCTAAATGTCTCAGTGTCTCAGTGTCATTGTGTCTACATGTCACAATGTCTTAATGTCCCAGTGTTGCAATGTCTCAGATTCTCAGTGTTCCAATATCTGAGTGTCTCAGAGTCACTATGTCTCACTGTCTCAGTATCAGGGTGTCTCAGTGTCTCAAAATCACTATGTCTCACTCTATCAGTATCCAAGTTTCTCACTATCCCAGCATCAGAGTATCCCAATGTACCAACATCTGCCTGCATCAATAGACAATAAACTTATTTTACTTAGCAAGTAATTACCGTCCCGTATATAAATTTTAATTTCAACAAAAAATGTAGAGAGATACCTTCTACGAGGATATAACGAATCCTTCAGAAAGATCGACACGCTAACAGGCCAGTACGGCTGGAAACAATGGCGTGAACGAGAAGGTAATCTATAAAGCATTTCATCGAGTGCCCGCCTTCTTGTGCCTCTCGTTCTCTCGTTATATCTTCAACATATGGAGGGGCAGTTAAACGATCACACCCGATTTCTAGCCCTGCTCTTTACAAGGTGTTGCCCTTTGTGCTCGCCCACTTCTCGGATGGGACCATTGACTTCTTTAAATTCCAATTATTATTATTTTTATGTAGTTTTAGGTTTATTGAATTTATTAAATTTTCATGTTTATTGAATTTATTAAATTTTTAAGTTTATTGAATTTATTCAATTTTTAAATTTATTGAATTTATTCAATTTTTAAGTTTATTCAATGTATTCAATTTAAAAATCCTTCACTTATCAAATAAAAATAACCTCCTTCTAATTCTTATGTTGATCAGTATATTTACGCAACGGACATTAACCTTACCATGTGATTTATCAGATACGTCAATCAGAAATTCACTGCTACAAAATTAATTAATTATAATTAACTATGTAAATTATAATTGATCTCAATCTTCATTTTAAACTGTATTAAAAATTCAAGTAAGATTTACGTTTCAACCGTAACTGGATCAGACTCGTACAAGTTTATTTAAATATCGTCAATTATTATTACACACGATTATGACCGCCAGCTTCCTTATGGAAGGAAAATAATAGTCCAAGCTAAACTACACATTGATTTATTTATTTAATTCTTTACTTTTCATGGAAGATGGCGCTTGAGGTATATTTATATTACCCAAAGAACAGTCATTGAACTACACATGATTGCAGTGTTACGCATTTGTTTTCCTTTCTATTATAATATTGTTGCGTGTTCCTAAAACATCGCGTAGTAGTACAGAGAATCGACTAGAGGCGCTTTACATTGCACATTTTCGCGCCCTTCTAGCGTCGGTTGCACTACTTTGCTTGTTTACGCGTTGCGTCGCACGTGTGTCGCAGTGTAACACGTTGCTCTGCCATTCGGTGAATCTTTATTAAATATCGCATAAACCTGAAGTTATCTATGTTTATTAAGTGTCTATGTTTGTTAACTGTGCTTATTAAGTGTGCCTGTGTACTAAATGTGTCTGCTTTATTTCTAAAATCTATTGCTCGCAAAATCTCTCGACCTTGCTGCGCAGAGAATTCCCGAAACGTCGCTTTGAGGCAAGTTGAAAAAGTGCATGTAACAAACCGTGCAGAGCCGTGTAACGCGGTCGATTCATACAACGAACGGATTTCGTTTAAAAAAATGCTCGTTGAATGGCCGATCTCGGGCCTACCGTTCGGTAGGTTTTAACGAGTAAAATTTCCCGCGGTAGACACGAACGACAGTGAATCCCCGACGATCCCTTTGGCGGCACCTTTGCCGACCCGTCCGCGTTTCTCCTATGACAAACGGAAGAATGGAAGAATGCTTCGGAGACAAGTTGCATTTACAATAAAGCCGACGGACAGTCGGTTTAAATTCCTGTCACCTCGTGGCGGACACCGCGGACCACTCGGACAGCCCGAAAAATGTTCGTCGATATTTCACGACCGTCTTCGAGCTACCACGATCGTCGAACAGATCTCTTCTTTTTACGCTAAGCGACAAGTACGACGCTTGCATAATACAAAATATATTTTCTATGAAATAGATAAATTTCAGAAATTTATTTTGAATGGTTCGGAATTATATGACCTCGATTTACAATTTTGTAGGCACTTGTGTCAAAAATGGATTGCTACAATGTCGGAAGAAATGAAGAAGGTCAAAGTGTTGAATACATTTTGCATTTAGCGATGCTTGATTATTCAGGTGATTAGAATTGAACGATTCGGTGAAGGGAAAAAAAGTTCGGTTTGTTACGTTTGAACTTTGCGCGCGAAATCGACGCAATATTTCATGGGGGAGGTTAATTATTAACCTGCGGATATTTATGGCAGCCTGCAAAATAAATGTAAATTATTTAATACACGGGCTATTAAATGATAAAATGGTTAGTATATCATTTAATACATGGGCTACTGAATGAATTCATTATATTAATCATTGTAATATAAAATTTAGTTACAATTTATAAATTTCCATAGTATAAGTAAATTTAGTTACATTATTAACTTCATAAATTTGTAAGCATTCGTTTATTAATTATTAGTAGTAAAATGCTCTGTACTTGCCTGTAGGGCAAATAATTAAGTACAATTAAATATTTATTATGACTTTATCAACCAATCACCTCAAACACCATGTTAAATATGTAAATGATATCTGCGCAGTACATAATGGTGATTGATATTTATGCGCAGTTATGAGTGTATGATGTAAATAGCATGAGTGTAATCATAAAGTTAATGTGCATATTTATTATTTGTAATAATGGACTGTGCATCTCTTTAATATTCAAGGTTGCAAGGCATGATGAAATGTTATAAGGAAGAATAGATCATAACATATTATGACTGCTGAATATGAAGATACTTCAAGATAAAAGGGATGTGAAAAGTTTGCAGTAATACAGTGATTACTAAAATAATTATGAGGAATCCAATATTACAATGAAGATAATATTTACAAAAATTCTGCATGAATACAATAATTAATAAAATTATTATGAAAAATTCACAATGGTTCAAGAATTATTAAAATAACTATGAGAATTCTACAGTGATATAACAATTGTTAGGATAATTGTGAAAAATGTTAATACAATAATTATTAAATAAATTATGAAAATAACAAATATGAAAAATCCACAAAAATACAATGATTATTATTATTAAGATAACTGTAAAAAATTCAGAATAACACAAGAACTATGAAAATAAGAATGAAAAATCTACAACAATACAACAGTTGTTACACCAATGATTAAAAATCCAGAACATAATAATTATTAACACAATCATGAAAAATTCACAATAATTCAATTATTATTATTAAAACAATTCTAAAAAAATCCACAATGACACAGAAATTATTAAAATAATTTTAAAAAATTTACAGTACTACAACAGTTACTAAAACAATTATGAAAAATCCATAACAATGCAACAGTTACTAAAATAATTATAAAAAATTGACAACGATGCAACAATTACTGAAATAATTATAAAAAATGCATATTAATATAATAATTAGTAAAATAATAATAAAAAATGCAGAATAATACAGAGGTCATTAAAATAATCTTTAAAACTGATTGTTCGATAAAATCCCGTTAATTATCGATGAGAGCGAAATTCTCTCCAAATTTCAGCGTCGTAAAATGTTGCAATATACTTGATCGAAAATTCCTCGGGCTATTTCGTAAGAGAAACGATGAGATTTTGACAAATGTGACGGGACCGACGGAAAGTGGAGTCGGTTCAAAGGACCGCCGCTGAGAATTCGACAGGCAAATTGCACACTTCTGTCGCTTGCCGCTTTCTCGCACAAAGTGAAAACCGCAGGAAAAGAGGGTGTTCTTCATTGCAGAGAAACGATTTTAAAGCAGGTTTTACTGTCCAAGAGCTAAACATGACCGTCGTTTTCCTTCACGAAAAAGGACTCTTTTCACTCGATGATACAACGTCGCCGCCTTTATGGTTGCGTTCATGTTTTCCTTCGGAAGATTTAGTGGAGTAAAGTGGATAAAAGAAAACGGAGAATATACTGCAAATAAAATTACTGTGGCAACTATTTTTTTGTGGTAGTTTTTAAGAGACGCTGTTGATTAGTTTGTAGATTTTATATTATACGTTATTAGGTTTATTGTATATTATTGTGTTCATTATTAGGTTTAGGTTTATTCGAATTTTAATTATTTATTTATAGTGGGATTTTGTATTGTGCATTTATATATACTAGAAATTTTATTTTATATATTTATGTATACTGAGAATTTTATATTCTATATTTAAGTATATTGAAAATTTTATATTTTATAACAATGTATGTTGTGTATGTTAAGATTTTATATGACATACTTTATATGACATATATTGTTAGATATATTAGAATTTTACATTATATATTTACGTTTACTAGAATTTTTCTTTCTCTTCTGTTTTTGACAAAAGAAATTTTGTCTTTCAATTTTTAAGAAGAGAAGAAACTGAAAATATTTCACCCAAAGCAACAGGGCGTTGTATCTACTGTAACGCAATAATGGCGCGTATTTCAAAAGCAATAAAACAAACCACATACATGAATCCGTATTTTGTTCCATATCTCGTTCTTGTTCTACCTATATGTTTACTAGTATTTCATACTGACTCTCTATTAGCAAATTCACTGCTATTATATCTTATTTAAATCTCATTTCTCAAACTACGAACCAAAAGGTCCATTGAATGCTCTTCTAAGTCGCATCGATCCAACAAAGTTTGTACAACAGCTTTTGCGCCACTTAATTCCGCATCAGATCCGCAGGCATTTCAAAGCAAATGTCTAACAAACCTGAATAGTTCGCTGTCATAACAAACATCTTGCTCGTCCAAACAGCGAAAAGTGCACGCGAGACGCGTCAAGAATCTCCGTCAAATCGAGCGTGATGCTTTCTTCGATTGTTGAACGTCCAGAAAAGCGCATCTACGTCCAGAAAACTATCGAGCATCTCACAATGGGCGAATGCTCGATTGAACGATAATGGGACACAAATGGGACAATGGAGGAGACTTAGCTTCGCGAACGATCGCACTGGTCATCCTCGTGGCTTATTTTAAGGCTGTTATTGTTGTCTTTCCCTTCTTGCTCAAGGAAAATGGACGAGCATGTCGATATTCTTCGAAAAATTGTTCTCGAATGATAGCTTTAAATGCGCTGCAACGAACAGGATATTAAACGTTGTATGGAGTTTGAATGGGGAATCCGAAAGACACTGGTCAATGGTTCTTTAGGGGGCTTCCTATTGTACGGGAAATGCTTCCTGGAAAATCACGGACTTTGTGTTTGGTTGTTATAATACGTTTTGAAGATATCACTGCAAAGGATTTGCGGGGTGCACATTTTTTATATACATTTGCTGTCCGTGTGTCAAATATGATATATCACATGTTTTCTGTGCACGGACTCTGTTCATAGAAATGATGCATCACACATCAGAATAAGTTCAAATATTTAACCCCTTGCACTATGACTTATTTGTCAGGTGCGTCAGTCAGAATTGACTAATTACAGCTACAGTATTAAAACAGACCAAAAAGATTGAAATGTTATATCAATATGTTATTATTCAATCGTTAACTATGCAAATTATAATTGAACTTGAACTCCAAATTGAAGCGTAGTAAAAATTTGAGTAAAATTGATCACGACCGAGGTACGAGTGCGTCACGAGTCAGACTTGTCAAAACAATACAAGGGGTTAAAACAATTTTTGTGCACAAAAATTGCACAAAATGAGGTGATATGGCACTCATCAGAACAAGTGTTAGTAGTTGGACCATGTTTTGGTGCATAGATGCACTCTCTTGTTCATAAAGATGATATGGCACTCATCAGAACTAGTTCTGGTTGTTGGACTATGTTTTGGTGCGCAGATGCACTCTCTTATTCATAGAGATGATATGGCACTCATTAGAACTAGTTCTGGTAGTTGGACTATGTTTTGGTGCATCAATGCACTTCCTTGTTCATAGAGATAATATGGCACTCATCAGAACTAGTTCTGGTAGTTGGACTATGTTAAGGTGCACAGATGCACTCTCTTGTTCATAGAGATAATATGACACTCATCACAACAAGTCTTAGTAGTTGGACCATGTTTTAGTGCATAGATGCACTCTCTTGTTCATAAAGATGATATGGCACTCATTAGAACTAGTTCTGGTAGTTGGACTATGTTTTGGTGCACAGATGCACTCTCTTGTTCATAAAGATGATATGGCACTCATCAGAACAAGTCTTAGCAGTTGGACCATGTTAAGGTGCACAGATGCACTCTCTTGTTCATAGAGATGATATGGCACTCACCAGAACTAGTTCTGGTAGTTGGACTATGTTGAGGTGCATAGATGCACTCTCTTGTTCATAGAGATCTTATAGCACTCATCAGAACTAGTTCTGGTAGTTGGACTATATTTTGGTGCACAGATGCACTCTCTTGTTCATAGAGATGATATGGCACTCATCAGAACAAGTCTTGGTAGTTGGACTATGTAGAGATGCATAGATGCATTCCCTTGTTCATAGAGATGATATTACACTCATTAGAACAAGTCTTGGTAGTTGGACTATGTTTTGGTCCAACACCACATGCTGTATCTCACATGACAAATGATAAGTATCAAATGTATTAATTCATATCAATATGTATGTGATAATAATGTATCACATATTAGAATAAATTACAACACTTGGACCAATCTATTCCTATACAAGCATCCACTACTTGTAACCCAAAAATGTCATATCACAATCCACAATGATACTCATCCCAATATATTCTCTTCACATATACACTTCACCTTTACACAAAATCAAATTTTACAACTGAAACCAATATTGTCCATGCACTCCCAGCATCTCAAGGTCACATCGTAACAAAATTATTTAACACGTTTGTCGGTTAAAATATTGCGTGAATTATTCACGAGCAACGTCGGAATCGTAAAGTGATCCAGTCCATTAAGCGAGTTCATAAAATAGCGATAGTTTAAAGGTACGTTGAACAAATCGCTACGGTGCATTCGGTCCATTGTCAGGGAATGAGATTAATTAACCGGCAAACAGCATCGCGGCTCAAACGAAGCCGAACAACCGCAAAGTAAACACATTAACCGACTGATTTTATGATCTACAGGTCGTTGTGGCGACGAGTCCGACACGGAAAGCGAACCTGGCATTCCTCTGAAGCGAAAGCAACGCAGGAGCAGGACCACGTTCACCGGAGAACAGCTGGAACAACTGGAGACGGCGTTCCAGAGAGCTCAGTATCCCGATGTCTATGCTAGAGAGGAATTGGCTCAACGAACCGGCCTTACGGAAGCCAGAATTCAAGTAGATATTGTTTCTTCCTTGAATTAGTTGCCTTTCGAATGATAGTTACTTTGAACTAGTTACCTCTCAAAAATTGTGAACGTAAAAATTAATTAAATGGAGAGAGAGAAGGTAAATCTAGGGATTTGGGGATCTAGGGATTCGGAGATGTAGAAATTTGGGGATTTAGGGATTTGAAAGCATAGGAATTTGAGGATCTAGGGATTTAGGGACTTAGAAATTTGGGGATCTAGGGATTTTGGGACTTGGGAATTTGGGGAGATAGAAATTTAGGGATCTAGGGATTTTGGGACGTAGGAATTTGGGGATCTAGGAAGTTGGGGACTTAGAAATTTGGGGATTTAGGGATTTGAAAGCATACGAATTTGAGGATCTAGAGATTTAAGGACTTAGAAATTTGGGGATCTAGGGATTTTGGAACGTAGGAATTTGAGGAGATAGAAATTTGGGGATCTAGGAAGTTGGAGACTTAGAAATTTGGGGATTTAGGGATTTGGAAGCATAGGAATTTGAGGATCTAGGGATTTAGGGACTTAGAAATTTTGGGATCTAGGGATTTTGGAACATAGAAATTTGGGGATCTAGGAAGTTGGGGATTTAGGGATTTGGAAACGTAGGAATTTGGAGATCTAGGGATTTTGAAACGTGGGAATTTGGGTGTCTAAGGATTTGGGAAGATAGAAATTTAGGAATGTAGGAAGTTAGGGACTTAAAAATGTGGGAACCTAGAGATTTGGAAAGTGAGAAATTTGAGAATACAGAAATTTGGGGATATAGGGATTTGAAGATGTAGAAATTTGGGATCCTAGGGACTTGGAAATATAAGAGCCACGAACATAAAAATTTGAGGGTCTAGGGACTTAGAAACATAATTTCAGTATGCAGTAATTTGGGAAGTTAGAAATTTAGGGATCCAGAGACTTGAAGATCCAGACTAAGGACAACTAGTGATAAACAATTTTAAATAAATAAAAAAGGTGTTTAAAAAATTTCACTTTCAATTTCCCTTTATAAATTTTTAAATTGCTCCGATCGACCTCCTAAATTAAAATTTTTTAGTTGAAACCTTGAGAGGATTTATTGTCACCATATACTAATTTTAAAATCCTTCTAAAGAGGATGAAACAAAATTTCATTGAACCACCTTAATATATACAAAGAATCCTAAGTTACACTACAATTAAAGTTCGGTATTGTTTTGTTTCAGGTATGGTTTAGCAATCGAAGAGCACGGTTACGGAAACACGCAGGTAGCATAGCGCATTCGGTAGCGGGTCTGCCATTAACACCCTGTCAGTATGCGAGCGGGCACGAATTAGGCCAAATACCGCAGGTACCTCAGATGCCGACTGGGATTCCACAAGTGCCAACAAGCTTACACCACAGTCCAACGACGCTGCAACAATCGAACACTGTCAGCGTTCATCCGATACCCGGTACACAAATCACGACGACCACCACCATAGCACAGGTACCGGTGACGATCGGTAGCTCTCTTCCGGGACACACTGTATCGATTTCGGGTCATTTGAGCTCGTTACCGGGACACGCGGTGCATGTCGGACAAGTTTCGACGATTCAACCACCCGCGGCTCATGGTGCACCTACTACGATCTCTCATAACACAGGTTAGTTTGATTAGTTTATTAACACTTTATTGACACTAACTGCCACGCCATTTGTATATGGATGACGCTTAAATTTACAGTTCGTCAAGTATGTCGTAAATAGTTTCACTAACCTAATTGAAAATACTTCCTAACCTGTTTGGAATTGTGAATAATGCAACAAAATATTGTGAGAATATTGCGTTGAACATTCCGACATATGGGATATTTTTGCTTGTTGTAAATAATAACTACCTGTAATTATTTATAAATGATTTTGTTATGCAGTTTGTAGTAACACGTGCGCGTACTTTTCCGACGTACGGAATAATAGAAGGAACATACTTGTTCTAATGCGCACGCAGTTCGCGCATCTCTCTTTACGTCGCGCAGCGAAGATAAAATAGCATTTACTGTTATATTCAATAATGACATATTAAAATGACTGCAGATTCGAGTTGATAGCCGGAGAAGTTTAAAATGTCGAATCTTTTAAATTAAAGGTTTAGAAATTTAAATCTTAAACATTGACATAAAATGAGGACCGCAGATTCGAATTGTCAGTCAGAGAAATGTTTTATTGTCAGTCAACTTTTTAAAGTTGAATCTTTCAAATTAAAGGTTAAGAAATTTTAAACGTTAAAAAATGACTGTTGAATTAAACACTCGAATACGCAAAATGTTTTTGGTTGTTGTAAATAGTAACTGTTCTTGATTATAACTGATTTTATTATGCCTGTAATACCACGTGCGCGTACTCCCTGACGTACAGAAAAATGACACGCACTTGTTCTATTGCGCACACAGTTCGCGCATCTCCCCTTTCTCGCACTGAAGTAAAATAGTACGCATTGTTACGTGCGACGCAAAACACAAAAATTCACAAATTTACTAATTTCAAGTTTGTATATTTAAACTAACAAACAGCAGTGTAAGAAAAATGGATATAATTTAACTTACACCTTATACCTAAACTTTCAATTTTTCTCTTATAAGACTAAAAATTCATAAAAGTATTGTTTAATAATAATACAAAATTACGTATCAGATATTTCAACGTACGTAATGTACATACAGTTTACCTTGCACATATGTCACTCAAGTCATGAAATCAGAAACTTACCTAATTCCTCTCACATATTGTCCATTAAACGGTAAAGGTGTCAATTAGCATGCTACATGCAGTGTTAATGAATTCGAATTGGACTTCGTAAAAATGTTACGTGCATCGTAACTTAACAAGCTAAATATGTACATTATGTATGATGCTTCTTTATTTTCATTTTCAAACTATTTTCTGTTACATATAATTTAGGCTGTGTTAAATATAACGATTTAGGAATTAAGGACTTAAGGATCTAGGGATTTAAGAATATAGGGAATTAGGGATTTGGAGATTTAGGGGTTAGGGATTTAAGAACTTGGAGACTTAGGGACTTAGGGATTTGGGAATTTTGGGAATTGGGGACTTGGGGTTTTAGGGATTTGGGGATTTAGGGACTTAGGGACTTCGGGATTTAGATATTTTGGGACTTAGCAATTTAGGGACTTAGAGACTTGAGGACTTAGGGACTTAGGGACTTAGGCACTTGGAGACTTGGGGACTTGAGGACTTAGGGACTTTGGGACTTCGGGATTTAGGAATTTAGATATTTTGGGACTTAGCAATTTAGGGACTTAGAGACTTGGGGACTTAGGGACTTGGAGACTTGGAGACTTGGAGACTTGGGGATTTAGGGATTTAAGGATTTAGATATTTAGAGATTTAGCGATTTAGGGACTTAGAGACTTGGGTACTTAGGGTCTTAGGGATTTGGGGACTTAGGGACTTTATGACTTAGGGCCCTAGGAATTTTGGGACTTACGGATTTGGCAATTTTGAAAATTACATGAATTACAAATTTGGGACTTATATCTGATAAAAAATTGAAACTTGCAATACCTGTATGAATTCATAATTGAAAGTTAATGATGAATTTGTGTAATTTAGGAAATACAGACTGGTCCAGGCCGCAGCTCGGTTGGGGACAATTCAATCACTTTCAAAGTGAGTACACGTCGAGTCATTCGAGTCATCAACATTCTTCGCACGGGAGTCATGGCACACTGTCTTCTGGTACCGGGAATTCTGCATCGACGTCGGAATGGTACGACCAGGGCTACGATTATTCTCAACACGCTCAGTTGAACTATCATCGAAGCGTGGGTGGAATATTTTAACGATGATTGAACTAACATTAGAGAAAAGTCATCGAACGAACTTTCATTATCTGTGTGGCTTGTCGCGAAATTAGGAGCAATAGTCTTTAAATAATATTTTCAATCTTTCAATAATATCACTCTGTACATTATCTTTGAGTGACACAAGCTTTTGTAAATTTGTAAATAATACTATTATAAATCACTTTGTATATTTTAAACGGAAACAATTAATAGTTTTTTTAATGTTTGAGTTTCTATACGGTTTGTACTATTTGTAAAATATAGTTTTGATAATGTGGCTGTGGAGTATTTGGTTAAACGTAAGAAAGTTAGGGTTGTAACATTTTTTATACGCGAGTTCAAATCACCGTCGACTAATTTCATTTTTTTTTTTGTTTAAGTACATTTTAAATTATTAGTGAACTTTACATAATGTACCGTGATAATAAAATTCAATTTTAAATATTTTTTCCATGTTAAATACTTTTATAATTTTGAATAATGAATATGCTCGAAATTTCCAACAATAAACATTAATGTTACAAAAATTGAACATATGTGTTGATATAAAAATCTGTTTTGAAATTGCTATATTTTACAAAATGTTAATAACTTATGTTAGAGACAAGCCACATAAAAATTAAAGTAGTTCTTTTGTCTTTCACAAATGTAATAAATAAAATTGTCTTCGTGTTCCATAACTGCCTTCCAATACTTTGATAACAGTATTATTAATTTTTCAATAAACAAGAGCAAAAAGTTATTTATTAAAATTGTAAGAATTTCGTTGTAATTAACGTTTAAATTAAATTGCGAAAATATTGAATGCAGTGGAAGATTAGGATCAGTTGTTAAATGCTCAATAATTAGATAAAAGATATTATATTTATATTAAAGAATTTCGCTATTGAATTTTCTATAATTTGTAAATAAATCACTGTATATAATATATTTTTAATACTGATGTAAGAAATAATTTGAAATAAGTGTAAAGAAAATATTTTTTAATTTTTATTGAATATGTTCTTTTATTGATTACCCTACATCCTTGAAGAAATTGAATTAATCAATGAAATAAGGTAAGTATTTATTTATGTAATAAAATAAGAGAAAATTTGTTTAATGAAAATGTAAATAGTTTTAGTTTTTATGAAAAGGGAAATTAAAATTATAAAAATGAAATTAGAATTATGAAAGTGAAATTAAAATTTTAAAAATGAAATTAGAATAATAAAAGAGAAATTAGAATAACAAAAGTGAAATTAGTCTATGTAATAAAATATTCGAGATAATTAACTTTAAAAAAAGAAAAATTTATTTAAAGACAGCAGGTATGATCACATTTAAATATTAAAGTGACTTTAAAACGATTTTCTTAAAATATAAATAATAGTGTAAATGTATAAAATAATAGTTTAAATAATAGCATAATTAATATTATAAATATATAATACAGTAGTTTAAATAACAATTCAAATATATAATATAATAGTATATGTTACAATAGTATAAATAATAGTGTATATATATAATATTATAGTACAATTAATAGTATAAATATATAATACATAAATAGTACTACCCTAATTAACTTTAATTAAAGATTTATCAAAAATTTTCCAGCATACATTGTCCCTCTCCTTCAAAATCTCCCAGAGCCCCTTGCCCCCCATTCTAGATACGTCACTGCACTAAATAGATATTTCTATCCACACATTTTCTATTCACAGTCAAAAGAATATTTTAAAAAATTGATTTACTATTCAGCAATATATATCTTAACAATATCTCATTCGAGCACACGTCGATAATTAATATCGGTATTATAATTTTTGCGAAATCGTAAATATTTATGCGTTCGTAAAACACGTAAGTATATTTTACTAAGAAACTGAAACCATTGTATATCACCGTTGCGACACGTTTAATCTCCTCAAATCCCATTCAGTGAGAATATGAATCACGTACACGTTCGTGCTTTAATAATGCAAGCTCTTTTCAACGTTGTGTAAATGGATTCGTTCCATATTCGCATAATGCGTACAATTTATCGAGTAACGCGGAAGCGAGAGTATCTGGAGCAAGGTTCAAATAATTGAACGAAACTAGGTGTAACTTCTTGTGACACGTTTATTGTACTTTACAAGAGTGTATGAATTCACACAATACATACATATTTACAATGACACTTTTCTATTATTTTAGAAAAAAAATGTTAGTGGTACTTCAATAAAGTAACAGTCACAGTGGGATATGAAAGATCCCATTCAATTTTAGCCACTCAGATTCTAAAAATCTGAATAAATACCTTTTTTGAAACCACGTATTTTTACTCTGCTTAACCGACGACTCAGATAATCAGAACAAAAATGATACGCGTGGCGCCATCTAGCGGCGAGCGGCGGAACTACGAAAAACTAAAATTTCGATTTTCTCGAATTCGGTCCAAAACGGTACAGGTGGCGCCATCTAGCGGCGAGCGGCGGAACTACGAAAAACTAAAATTTCGATTTTCTCCGAAATTAGGTCATTTGACGTATTTCTGAGGATCAGAAATTGTTCTGCGACCTCCCTAGAACCTATATATTGCCACAAGAATCTCCTCAGAGCGCTAGAAAAGAAAATAAAAAAATAGGCCAAAACAGGGACTAAAAAATTGCCGTCCATCTAGCGGTGAAAGCTGGAACTACAAAAATAGAAAATCCCGATTTTCTCGAAAACTAGGGACTTTTCCGAAATTCTGAGATATACCAATTGTTCCTTGTCGCCTACGGAATCGAACGAACCTAATTATGGCCTGCTAGGACCATTATTAAAGAAAATAGAAAAATAGCCCATTTCATGGACTAAAAAATAGGCGTCCATCTAGCGGTGAAAGTTGGAACTACAAAAATATAAAAATTCGATTTTCTCGAAAATTAGCAAACTTTGAGTACTTCTGAGGCTCAGAAAGTGTTATGTGATCGAATTAGAAGCAAAATAAAGCATTAAAAACTTCCTGAAAGCTTTAATAAAGAAACTAAAAAAAATGTCATTTTATGGAGAAAATTTGTGCCGCCATCTAGCGGCAAAACTGCGAACTAAACTGAAAAAACGTATGTCCGAACACGCGTTAAGG